CGATATTGGACAACCATTCGACATATCTGGCTGTTCTAATAAAACCTGCTTTCAATAATCGCTCTATCTCTTTCTTGATTTCAGGGAGTACATTGGGAGCAAAACGTCTAGGAGGCTGCCTATGAGGTTTAAAGTTAGGCTTAGTTGGTAACCTATATTCCACCAAGTCTCTATCTAAACCAGGCATTTATTCATATTCCCAAGCAAAACAATCTTTGTACTCTTTTAGCAAAGCGATTAATTTATTACTAACCTATTGATCGAGTATCTGACTGATGAATGTTGAACGATCTTCTCCTTCATTGCCAATATTTACTTTGATCAGAGGGTCTTATGCTTGAGCGTATCCAGGTTTGACGATCCGCATCACTTCGTCGTCCAGTTCCCTTGTAAGTACTTCCTCTTCTAAACAGTCCACCTTGTTGACATATTGGCCAATGCTTTGTTCTAACTCGAATACTTCCAATTTGTCCTTCAGCGCTTCTAGGGCTTTCTCTTCTTTCACCTTGTCATTGCATTCCTTATTGAAAGCCATTAGTTTGGCTTTGAAGGCCTGAATGTCGGCCATTTGCTTTCGTAACTTAGAATCCATTCAAGACTCCTTGATTATTCTTTTGCCAATTACTGGCTCTTCCAGGGCCACTATATTTGGCCTCATCTGTCTGAACATTCCAGTGAGTGCGTCCACTGAAAATGGCTCTTCGCTTTGCGCGACAACTTGAGTTTCTTCCCCATCTTGTACCACCCTGACAGGTCCATAGTTTCCTTCATACATGAACTTCTCCACCGAGTTTGCTTCTGTGAGAAAAGGCCTATGATCGGCCTGTACCACCTCTGCTTCGCCTTTGTTATTCCAAAAGATCAGGCATTGATGGAGCAATGAGGGTATACAGCGACTTCCGTGTATCCAATCTCTTCCTAGTAGCACATTGTAACTAGTAGGACCATCTATTACAAAGAAGACAGTGGTCCTAGTAGTCGTCCCTATAGTTATGTCCAATGGCATAACTCCCTTAGCTGAAGTTGCTCCTCCATTGAAGCTCGTGAGGATGACTTCTGTAGGAATCATGTCACCCTCTGTCTTTGCGAACTTCCTCATCATCCTAGATGGAATGGTGTTTATAGCTGCTCCATTGTCGACAAGCACTTTTGCCACTGGGATGCCATTAACTAGAGCTTTAACGTATAATGGCCTCAAGTGTTTAGTCAATTTCATGGATGGCCGTTTAAAAATAACCTTTTTGGCAGCCTCTATTTCTACTTCCTGCTTGTTTTTTGTCGAATTATCCCCCTGTGATAAGTCGACGTACAGTATATTGCGCTGATCCTCTGTCTCGTGAACTTCCTTCTTAATTTTTTCTAATGCTTCCTCATCAGTTACCCAACCTGTGGGAGGGGGCATTATTCTTGGAGGTAACCCATACTTTTCAGAGCGAAGCACTTTCTTCTTCCTTTTGGGTGTCCCGTACAGTACGTATAAATCGAAAGGACGCCCAGATGGTTCTCCCAACAAGTCTACTTCGCGAACTCCCTCTCGATGTAGTTGCTTCAACAGAGTATTGCGCGATACTCCTCTCTTTCTTCCTTCTGCTTCTAGGTCGATTTCTTCTTCAATTTTTGTCATCCCATCATCCTTTTCATCGTTGTAGGCCTCTCTAGAAGTCTGGCCTTCTTCACATTCCAGCACGCAAGCTTCTCCTTCGTTGTCCTCCCTCTCTTCTTCTTTTTCTTTATTCTTAAATTCATTGGCCAGTAAGTAATTATTGGCCACGACAGGAGGCAATGTACTGAATCGGATAGTAAGGGGCTGATCTGGATCTTCTCCATCCCTTCTGTCTCGCTCAAACTTTGATCTCCCAGAAGAAGTTTCTGGCAGTTCCTTCATTGATTCATCTGTACCGGTCTCTTCACTATCTTTGAGGACATTTTGATTGGCTACCTTGAGTAGTTTAGGCGATTTAGGATGTGGCACTCCCTGTTGCTGCCTCATCATCCGGCCATAGTTTCGTTGGAAATGTCTTTGTTGGGTTCTAGTCATCTCATCGAAGGGTATTGCCCTTCCTGCATTATACTGGAATGAATGCCATACATTTGACCGGCGAGGTTGCGGCCTGAACTGCCTCTCAAAAGGCGGTCCTCTATAGAATAATGTACCTCGCCCTCTACCAGGCTGAGTGTTTGGGAAGAAAGTAGGGCGATGGGGATGCTGCCATATCCCTGGTTTCTCCGTATTTCCATTCACTTCTCTTTTACATCTTGCACACAAGACGTCTTCGTCCTTTTTTGGCTCTTTCCCCTTGATTTTTTTAAAGACACTGGGACGTGGTCTAGGATCCTCTTCTCCATCATCTACGACCCACTTGAATTTTGGCAACTTGTTTTTGAATCCAGATGTCACCATGTTCACTCCAAGTGGCTGTGGAAAAGGATTTTCATCCACTGCCATCTTCTTCTTATCGTCGAATGTAATTCGTCCTGATTCAATGGCATCCTGCAATACATGGCGAAAAACCAAGCAATTGTTAGTCAAATGTGACCATGCATTATGCCACTTACAATAATTTTTTACCCTTAATTTGTTCAGGGTTTGGCAATTTGTGCTTATCGCTCAACTTTATCTGCTTATCCCTATATAATTTATCAAATATAAGGTCAGCTGTGGTTACATCGAACGAGAACGTTCTAGCCTTTATGTTTCCATCTTTTACGGGCTTATCTTTGCCCGATGGTCTAGGCTTGGCCATTATGGGACAAGTATACGTATCTCCTTTGACCAATTCAGCCAAACACATTTCGGCCTGGTCGTATGACTCGTCACTGACGATATGAACATCAAAATTTGGGTCTTTGTAATAAGTCCCTTTACTAGAAATTTTCATCTGTTCTTCCTCTCTTATCAGTCGTTCATACCTAATCACATTCGCACTCAACTGTAAAAGGTCAGAAAATTCCTTGTCCTGAAATTTCTTTTTTAAATCAAAGCTCAAGCAGCCCTGAGAGATTTTGACAAATTCTTTTTCGGGCAGAGGTACAAAACACTTGCTTCTTGCTGTCTTGAACCTTTGGAGAAAACTTTCTGCCCATTCGTTTGGCATTTGACGTAGATTTGCCAAATTAGCCAAAGTGACTTCAGACTCAGTTTTATAAAACTGAGTGTGAAATAACTGTTCCAATTGTTGCCATGTTTGAACAGAGTTCGCTGGCAAGTTGATGAACCAGGAGAAAGCTACTCCTGTTAACGAACTAGGGAAAAGCCTCATTTTATGGTAATCGGTTACATCACCACTTTGCAATGTGAATCGCCCTATGTGTTCTAGAGTAGACACCTCTCATAAATCAGTAAACAGTGAGAATTCTGGCACTTTATCCCCTCTAGACCATGGATATGCTTGGTCTACCCAATCAGGATATGGTTTTGTGTACGTCGGCCTAATGACGGGACGCACCCCAAAAGCCATCTGATCCTGTACGATTTCCATAATCTGATTCCCCAACATGACGTTGGGATCATATGGAATTCCTACAGGCTGGTTAACCGGTTGATTTGTATGAGGCCTGATGTTTGGTCCTTGATTGGCAACAAAGTTACCATGATTAGGGCCATTACCATTAGCTTGAACATCTATTCCCTCATTAACACATGGGGTATTCTATCCATTGTTTAGGATATTATCTCTTATGTTTGGATTATCCCCCAAGTTAGGCGTACCACTACCATTGTTCTGATTTGGCACTGCAGTACCCCCTTGGTTTGAAGTAGAGGGACCAAAAAGTGGTTCTACCCCTTGATTAGGATTTAAGACTGAGGGATTATGTCCCACAATTGTCCTAGTTTGAAAGTGATTTGCAAGAGGTATAACCGATTGACATATTTGGCCTACTAACTTATTCATTGTTTCGTTCAAAGTGTTTAGTTGTTTGGCCATGTTATTATAGTGTGCATTCCCATTTTGGGTAAATCTTTCCATATTATGAATACTTCGAAGATTTACCTGTTCAACAACGTCTTGTATGAGTTCTCCAAGTAATGCACGCATGGTTCGAGGACTCAACTCCGTCATTGGTTCGTAACGACTGTTACTGCTCTGATTCTGTCCCATCTGTTCGTGGAGAGGCATGCTGCTCCTCATATCGCTCGATCACAGACTGGACTCCTCCCTGACTTGCTGCTTCCTTATCGGATCTCTGAGGCATATTATTTCACCTTTTGTACTTCCAACACCAAACACCACTGTCCCACCGGGCGTGCCAAATTGTTTCGCGCGGGTTAGTCACTAACAATTAAAAGGGATCACACGATTGTGTAAAGGACAAACCTCTTGAGACAAAGTCCCAAAAAGGGGTGTTCTTTTATTGGCGATGACTTTACAATTGGAAATTAAAAACAAAATGCCTCCAAGGGGTGCAAGCACACGAGTTACTGAAAAAAGTGTTTAGGTCTAAGCTAAGGAAATTAAAATTACATGTTTTTTATTCGAGAGTTTTTGATTTGGTCCTTTGCTCTATGTCCTTTCTCCCTTTTATACTCTATGGATGATCTTTTTTGTGATCAACCGCCTAAAAACTGCTTGATCGTTCTGCAACTGCCCACTTTCCTCGTAATGGCCAGCTTGTCATGAAAACTGCCTTTTTTAACTGCTGCCATTACTCTTCGTCGTTCAACCGTTTTCGATTGAATTCCTTGAATCGTGGAACGTGATAGGGCTGCTTTAATAACTGCACTTCTTGATAACCACAACGCTTTATGTTTGTTAAGACCTTGGGCGATTTGAAAGTTTGGGCGAGAATAGAGTAACAGTCATAGGCGACTGCATGACACTCCATTCGCTCAGATTCTGAGCGACTTGCAAACTTGGGCGATGGCGTTACCGCATTCTTGGGCCTCCCTATTTGGGCCTTCATCTTGAATTGTTTGATTGGACTTCGTTCTTTGGACTATCTGATTTGGGGATCCTCCAATTGGGCTTCATTCCTTGGGCCGTTTAATTTGGGCTGAATTTTTATGTGTCAACAAAAGGCAAAAGTTGATCCTCAAAGAACTGTGGATCTCCACCAAATCTGGTAACCGTAGCCCAAGCTCTCACAAAACCAAAAATTGTATTGGCATCGCCAATGGTGTGATTGTTCGTAAAACCAATACGGATGCCGTGGCCAGGAAATAGCGTGACTTGCAAGGCTGTAACTGGAAATATGATGAAATCCGATGAATGGGTTGCAGGCGGCAATTCAGGAATGCAGAAGTAGAATTCACCCACAGCCCGGGGATGGTACCCAGTGAGATGATTGAAGTATTTATCGCACTGAGCAATTTTTAGAGAAACTGAGTCCCCCAACACGTAACGAGAAATAGGCCAGCCGGAGTTTATTGGGCGGATTATATTGCCGGAGAATGGAAGAAAATGATTGAGAGTTTCGCGGAGAGATTGTTTGAGTTTTGGAACGATGGTTTCCAGGAAATGATTCTTGGAACAAGGGAAATCAAGGAAAAGAAACCCATGAACTGGATTAAAATCCAAGCTTACTATATCGAAGCATACAAGGGGAAGTGTTAGCTCGTTGACGTTGTTTGGCGAAGGCTGAATATGACATTGCTCAAGAATGGTAGAGATTGGAATTTTAAGCTATGAAAATAATGAACCAATTATAAGAACTCCAGAACTGGACGATAGGGTGTCTTTGATATCCTCTCTTTATGGATAGATTAATACTATTTAGCCCTACTGCAATCTCAATTTAGATGTAATATTAAATTAGAGATGGAATTAAAGAAGTCATTTAATTCTACCTTTTATTTAACTTATCATCTAGCGCCACCTGAAATGGGGTTGAGATTGTAACTCCACATTTCATTTGGCCTATCATCTAGCGTCATTTACACTGGTATTGGAGCTTTGTAGCATTATTCATTGTAATAGGGAACAAATAGGGACATTTGGATGATACAGAGTCAATAGATTCATTAAAAGCTAGTTACACAATTCAGGGAAATTAGTGTTCATGGTCCATAAATTTAAACATAAACCTGTTTGGCCAGGCTCAAAACCAAGGTTGCATGAAAAAACAAGGGGGTGCACATTTTTCATGTGGCCCCCTGTTTTTTGCCTAGCTTTGGGGCTAGCCAAACGGCAGATCTCTAAGTTTAAAATGGAGAATCTAAATTTTCAGAAGACTCAAACAAGTGCCAAGTGTACTACTTCTGTAAATTATCACCGTTTCGATGGACTAAAGTTACTCTAAATTTATTTTATATTTTCCTGATTATATTAAAAGATAATTTAAATTTTTTTGAATACTTTTTTTACTATGTGGACTTTGTAATCTCATCAATTTTGATATTTTAATATATGTTACATTTTAATCTAAAATAATTAATATGTTTGAGAATATTACTTATTACCATAATAAAAAAAATAACGTTACAATAATAAATAATAATACAAAATTTTTCCAAACACTTATCTTATTTTTTTTTGCAAGTGATTCTTTTTTCAGCACAACTACAACTGTATTCAATTATCTTAAAAGCATCGGAATACAAAACAAACATTAATATTTACGTGTTAAGTGACTTTGTAATTTATTTATCCGCCTTAATAGAGTTGACTATGAAAAAGATATTTAGTTCTTGTTTGGTGGGTATTAAAATCAAGAGCCTGTTTAAGTCACATTATTTGTAAAATGAGAATGAAAAATAGAGTCGTTATGGACCCCACACAAGAGATAGAAATTCAAAAATGGTGGCTTGATGTGACAAATAATTGTCATATTTTTTATTTTAATGAAGTAAAAATGGAGCTCAAATAAGACTCAAATTTTGATAAAAGTTAATGAAATATATGGTTGAAAAGTTGTGGATATTAAAAAAAATGTATTTAAAATTAATTATTGATTTTAACTTAAATTAAAATCTAAATTACAATCCGAACCAAGCAAGGGCTTAATAGAAATAATTGACAAGTACATGTGTATCACACTGTTCGTCAAAATCCCGCAAGTGTACGAGTTCGTTGTACAAGTAATAAACGTAATAAGAGAGTTATCATCCCACAGAGAATAAGGCTCAATTGTAATATATTTAAATTAGTGTTTTTAATCAAAAGACAATTGATGAATATCTAATTAAGTGTTGTAACTAAAACTTGTACAATCAATAAAAGTTTTGTTTAAAAATCAAATGAGTGAACGTATTAGATTTCCGACGCCACTAATCAATTCTTAGTTCTAATTCTCAACCAGTGATAATTATTTCAATTCATGCAATTCTAACAATCGATAATTCCCCTTTTATTTATTATTCTTTCCCAAGATATAATAAATATATGGTTACCACGAGACGATCATATTCCTAGTCCAAATTCATATGACAAACATGCATTGATATTTAAGATTATCACACATGATCACACACGTCATAATTACTATTTCTAATATTTATTGCCCATATATTCCAATAATAGTGTTCTATATACTATGAGTTTTTCAACACTACGAAAAAGTAACTTATTGTTCTAATGATGCTCAAATATTAAAACAATGTAATTATGCATATTAACGGAATTATAACGAAGAATCAAGACAAAACACACAAATTCTCAAATTAAAAATTAAGAATCAAAGAGTTTTGTCATCCATCCAATACAAAGGATTTTAGCCTAGCATATTAATGTAAGAAATATGAGGAAAAAAAAATCATCACCCGAATCATTAAACTATGAATAAAATCTGAAAATTTTCAATTAATACCTTCAAATTCGGATCCAAGTTATAAATTCTTCGTTCTTCAATGTATATTCTCTTTGTTTCTCTCAAAAGTCATCTTATAATCATCCCCCCTTAGGTTTGGACTGTTTTCCTATTTATATGATGCTAAAGAGGTTGCTTACCAAAATAAAATAAGGAAACCTAAACTTTTACACCGTTTACCATTGTGGCGTGCACCTGGACGCATTTGGGTGTCTCGGTCGCCTCATTTTTTGGTTGGAGCGCGCACCTTGCCTAATTTTTTACAGCTAAATAGCTTTCATTATTTTTGTCACATCTTTCTCTCCCAATATTCGATTGAGGAGATTCAAAGTATGTTGAAAAGCTTACTCAAACGGGTACAATTCTCTAAAGATATTATTTTCCAATTTGAACATTTGATATGCAATACTTAGGTCTCAATATTAGGCTAAAAATTCGAAGCATAACCTTTTTTGATTGAAAATTGATGTATGATAATATTTTGACTATAATTCATCCCTTTGACTTCTTTCCTTTTCCAATTGACTTTGAGCACTCACAAATTTTCATCCTGAGGTCCGACATTTTAGTCCCCGAACTTTGGATTTGATTCGTTCTAGCCATTTTCCTTTGACATTTTAGTCCCGAAACTTTGGATTTGATTCATTTTAGCCATTTTCCGTTCTTCCTCCAATTCTTCTTCGAACCATGAATTTTCCCTAATAAAAATAATAAATAACAAATTATGTACTAATTCATCTAAAGAATAACAAAATATCATTATTTAGGATCCCAAATAAGTGTAGAAACTACACTTATCAAACCCCCAAATTTGAATCTTTGTTTGCCCTCAAACGGAACTAAAAACCAACAAATACACCGTGATAATTACCTAATTGGTGGTCAGTCAATCAAGCAATACAAAAAGATTTAGCTAGCTAACCCGACTTTTTGTCTCAGAATTGAAATCACAATATGAAATCTATGTACTGCATCGAAATCGTAATACAGAAATTAAAATCTACTTTTCCAATGTAAAATTGAATTGTGTGTATGTGAAAAATTAAGCATAGCATCATGAATTCAAAAGTTAATTCAATTCTTGACCCACAATGGTCAAATATGTCATTTCATCACTCTTAAGACTTACACACCCCAAACTTATTCGTTTTACTCTTTTCAAGTGTGTGACCTAAGGTAGAATTTTATACTATCCTCACCTCTCTAGTAAACTCTCACTAACTGCAAGTTGATATATAAACAAGGATTTTCCATAGTTTTATTGCTTCAATCTCAAAAACTCAACTAGGCTAATAATCCCTTATCAAAAGTCAATTTTCTTAAACAAGTGTTTGGGACATAACCAAAGCATTCAGTGCATCTTTTGTTTCATACACCTACTTTTTCTATTTTTTTCTTAATCTTTACTTCAACACCTCTTTTCTTTTCTTTTTTCTTTGTTTGCAGCATTCCCTCCTTTAAGTTTTCTAAATAAACCATTTCACGAGCTTTAGGCCAATAACTCTCAAGTTAGTTGACTTTAGGGAACACGTTTTAACACCCTTACAGGCTTAATAACTCGAGTCACAAAGGCTATGAAGAGAAATTTTCCAATAAAAATTATATATATATTTTTTATACATCGATTAGTGCAATGTCCCTCATTAAACACGTATCCAAGTAAACTGACTTCTAACTTGAGACTTTACCCAATTTCATCCTATTAACCTTAGACAATCCATGCAAGACTTTTAATTTCATCCTATTAACCTTACACATGGAATCCCTATTTATTTTAATATCTTCCTACAATAGTGAAATCCCCCAAATTATTCTAAATTTGGTCTAAGGAAATAAAATATAGTGGTTTTAGGTTTAGAATCTATGGTCCACTATTTCAAAAGATCCAATTTTAAAATCAACTCATTCCTACACAATGGTTAACGTAATTCACGTGCTTAATATATATTGAACTTCACATGAAAAAGTAATAATTAACTAAAGAATGCAACTTATTCACCATTCATAGATTAATTCATAATTCAATATATTTCTCATTGTTGGCCAGGTTAGTTAACTCTCTCTCTCACACATACACACACACACCAACTTAAATTAGATATTGTCTTCAATGTCTTAAATTCTAAATCTGCATATGACGGGATGGGGAAGAAAGAGAAGAAAATACTCCCCTGATATGGCATGAAATTAATTGGCTAGCTTTTCCTATCGCTCCCATTGTCTCCTTGGTCAATGTTAGTTTAAGTTTCCGTGATTTTTCCATTCCTGCACAATGCAGTTAAATAAAGCATTAAAGATTAAATGCCTGGAATATACGTTACTTAATTCAAACATTTAATAAACCAACTAACATATATGGGATATAAGAAGAAACAGAGTGTGGATGACGAGTCTTTAAAATTGAAAGAAAACTAATCTAAATTATCTTAAACTATTCTAAATCTAAAAGGCAAAATAAATAAAAAAGAATAGAAGTGTTGGGTTTCCTCCCGACGAGCGATTGTTTTTTATCCTTTGCTCGACTCTTGTTGTTTTTAGGCTCTTCATGGTGGCTTGAAAAGGAAATTTTTAGCTTTGCATTTTATGCACTGATTACACTTTCTTCTTTCATCTTTCATACTCCACAAAATCAATTTTTCCATCGCTATCCCTACAAACAATTCCACCTTCATTTGATCAGCCTTTGTAGCTATCCTAGTGATCAACTCATTGGCAATTCTCAAAGTATGTTGGTTACTTGATTGGATTCTCCATGGTGAAGCTCTATTGCTTATCTTCCAACCTCAGAACTATCTTATAATATCAAAATCTAGCAAGACTCGACTTGTAGACAAGAATGGCCTTCCTAGGGCTATAGACATCTGATATGCCTCTTCTATGTCGAGAATGATGAAGTCAGCTGGAAAAATACACTCATCACCTAGATAAGCGTATTTTCGACTATTTCGTAAGGGTATTTTAGCGATCTGTTCATTAATTGAAGGATGATAGAAGCAGGCTTAGGATATCACAATCCTAACTTCTTGTAAAGAGGTAAGGAAATTAAGTTAATATTTGCTCCTGAATCAATTAAACAACACCTTGTAAATTTCATACGGAGCAAGGTAGAGTAAACTCCATAGATCTTTAAGTTTGGGAAGGATCCTGCGCTGAACAATCGCGCTATTGTTTCATGCTCAGGTATCTTCTTTTTATTCAATATCTCCTTTAAGATCTTGTAGTAGTTTGGAATTTGAAGGATCGCGATAATAAAATGGATGTTGATATGCAGCATTTTGAGGACTTCTAGGAATTTTGTGAGTTGCTTTGCTAGCTTGGTATTTTTCAACCTTTGAAGAAATGTACTGGGTGTGCAAGTGCTTTGATTGGTGATAAGTGCATTTTTATGTACTTATATAACTCACAAAAATAACTAAAATACGAGCAAAGTATTTGAAATGTGACCTAAACTCATTTAATTCTAGGATTGTAGGGTTTGTTGATGGACATGGTGGAATTCACGAGAAAAAGAAGCATAAAGGACCCAAACGAATCAAAGTGATAGTTCAGGGACCAAAGTGCAAATATCCAAAAGATGAATCAAAGGAGCAATCAAAGACTTTATCGTGCCATGTATCAATTGGTGACCATACTTGAACCTTAGAATAAGAAAATACGAGAAAAGAAGCCAAGTGATTGAACAAAATTAGAGGACCAAAATGGAAGATGTGAAAAGTTCACCCTACGCAATCGCATAGGGTAATGCAGCAATTTTTTTGGACAAAAATTTAACCTATTTCGGGGGTTGGGTTTTCAGTTTCTTTTTTACATTATAACTCTATTCGAAGACAATTTGGATGTGATGTAAAAACCTAGAATCATCAAATTTTGGGAACAAAACACTTCTTGAAGACCAAATTGAGGGAGATCAACAATGGATTTCACGAAGAACATCAAGATTTCATCAAATTTCAATATCCACTGATATTTTATTTTCAAGAATTCATGTATTCCTTTAGATTCTCAATGTTAGGCTAAGTTTTCTTACGCTAGGAGATCGATTAACTATGTAATATGATCTTTTGATTTTGATTTTTGCAATTTTATAATTAAACAGATATGTAACTATTTGAATGATTTATATACATTAATTTTGTCCATGATTGAGTGCACACGATTATGTGATGTGTAGTGATTTAATTCTTACATTCGAGAGAAGGGAAATAGATTTGACAAGGTATAGATCATCATAGGGTCTGATAGGGGATAGAAATATATATCTATGCTTTGCGTGATTCGTTAATTGCTCATAAAATCCCATGCATTCTTATGTATATGTATCCGTCATAGAAATATAGGCTGGTGGTACATAAGAATATGTTCAAAATTACTCGAGAGAGTGTGTTGGATAGACTTAGGAGCATTGAGCCATCAATAATCAAATTGTGTTATCAGATTGTGAAATTAGGGTTTCAAATGATTATTACATAGGAATTTGTTATCCTAGTGTTTTCTAATTTTCTTGAATACAATCAATTTTGGATTCCAATCATCACATTGTGATTAATTTCATTTAAACACATAGTTTGCATAGTCAAGTCATTTATCGAAATTAGGGTTTTACTAAGATTAAATTCCTATTTTGATAAATTCGTTTTGGTTAAGGTTAAGGTAGATAAAATTGAATTACTCAATCTCTGTGGGACGATATTCGAAACTTAATATCGAATGAACGAATGAACTCTACGTCGAAGGCAGAGAGAAAACAAAAAGGTACAGCAACCAATGGCTAACATGCAAAACAATCCAATTTTTCTAGCCAATGAAGAAGGGACAGCGGATGAAGAAAATATGCTCGTAGGAGATTTCATGACCCCTCAGATAATTCAAAGCTAGTCAAGTATCGCGTATCCACCATTTGGATAGCTTAACTTCCAATTGAAGACTAATGTGATAAAATTATTTCAAAACAACCATCAATTCTATGGAAAGATTGAAGAGAATCCACATACGCATGTCTCTCGTTTTCTGGAGAACTTCAGATATCAAGGAATCTCTGACTATGCAATCAGATTAAGGTTGTTTCCACATATACTGCGCGACAAGGTAATCAAATGGCTAGATTCACAACCAATTACAAGCATCACTGCATGGAATGATCTAGCCCAGAAATTCTGCACCAAGTTCTTCCCACCTGCTAAGATTGCAAAGCTCAAGCATGACATTTCTGTCTTCCATCAAGGCAACTTAGAGAATTTTGATGAAGCCTATAATAAGTTCAAGAATATGTTGCAAAAGTGTCCATATCATGGGATTAGCAAGGGACTTTAGATCCAATACTTTTATGCGGGATTACTCCCAGTCTTTAAGAACATGGTTGACTCATCTTAAAATGGATCACTGTCCACAAAAACAATTGATGAAGCACTCAAACTTTTTGAGACTATGGCTACTACTTCAGCTATGTGGACATCGGAACGAGCAGTTCAGAAGAAGACACTAGGGGCTTATGAAGTAGAAATTATTTCCGCCTTGTCTGCCAAAATTGATTCATTATTTTACAAGGTAGAAAATATGACACAATCGGCTACCGCAGCACAGTCGAAGAAGGCCAGTTGTGAGAATGTGGAGCAGAACATTTAATAGCAGAATGTCCAACCTTAGTACAAGGAGTAGAGTAGGCAGATTTTGCTCAATAGGGACAGCGGCAGCAAAACAACACATTTGAGAAAACATACAATTCGAGTTGGAAAAAGCACCCAAATTTCTCTCGAAGCAACCAAACTAGAATAGGCCACAAGGCTAGTATCAGCAGCCATGGAAAAAGCCTCAACTAGAAGAGATGTTCGATAAATTTATGGAAAAGACCAACCAGTACATGGAGGCCAATAATCAATTCATGAGGAAAACTGAGGCCACTCTTCAAGATCAAATTGCAGCCATCAAAAATCTAGAGACTCAAATGGGACAGATGGCAGTTGCTTTGACTGGTAAAGCACAAGCAGTTTACCAAGTAACACTGAAATAAACTTGAAGGAACATGCTAAGGCAATCACAACTCGAAGTGGAAAGTAGCTACCTTAGATACATGTTAAAAAAGGCCCAGTGTAAATCGAGAAACATAATCTCTTGCTATTGAAGAAACTATAGAGCATGATGAGCAGATGAAGGAATCTACCCTAACTAAAGAACCAAGTAAATCACAGGCCAAGGCAACCATCAACCCTCATGAGCCTCCCATACCTTTTCTACAGAGGTTAAAGAATCAGAAGCTGGAACAATAATACAAGAAATTTCTCAAAGTCTTCAAGAAACTCCACATCAATATTCCACTCGTTGGTGCACTATTCCAGATGCCTAGCTATGCAAAGTTCCTGAAGGACATACTATCGAATAAACGCAAGCTAGAAAATCACAAGACAGTAATGCTAATAGAAGAGTTAAGTGCCTGAATTCAAAAGAAGCTCCCACTGAAATTGAAATATCCAGAGAGTTTTACT